ATCAAGTCACTGGCCGTTGGGCGTTACTTCCACATACAAGCTGGGCAGAATAGAAATGCAGATCAGCTTCTTTAGCATTTGAGAGCAGGTCAATGCTGGGAAATGCTCTTCTCAGACAGCCTCTTTTGTCTGTGATTTTCCAGTGTTTTCCACTTTCTCGATATGAGCAGAGACAGGTAATACGACAAAAAGCGAGATAAATATACGTTCCCGTTTGCTGTTTAAGGGAGAAGGGAGATGGGAGGGAGGAAAGGGACCTGATGTGAGTTTGAGATACTCCAAATTAATGAGAATTTTATTTGGAATCATTACTCCAGTTCAGAATGCGAAGTTACAATGCATTGCTTTTTAAATTGAATTGATATAATTATAAAATTATCTCCACATAATTAACTCAAGGATTACGTTTGATTCTATTTAGCATGTAATCAAAGCCTATTATGTTTTAGCTATAGGAACACCAATTAATTTAAAAGGGCTACTTAGACCCGTTTGGAAAGGGGGGGCAGGGAGGGGAACAGCTTATCGTGGCATTATTGCGGCTATATTGCACACCAAAAAAAAAAAAAAGGACCCCGGAAAGGTAGCAAAACTCTTAAGAAACAGGGGTCCCATCGGAGATGCGTTGCTGGGAAGTTGTGTGCTCCCATCTCCGCTGCTCCTCTAGTCCCTGGGGGGAGGAAGCCCCTCTGACCTCTGGCATGGGAACTTGAAAGGTGAAGGGTCACCCAGTCCTTCCCCACACCCACCACGGCAGGTTTGGTTTCCTTCCCTCTTCCCAGCACCCTCTCCACCATATTTGCCCAGGAAATGGACATACGGCTGGCTTGGGGGATGCTGTGCTGGCTCGTGGGCACGGCCGGGCATTCACTCCCAGCCTGCGGGGACACTGCTGGGCAGCAGGACGGGACGGAGGGCGAGGGGGGGGACGAGAATCCGGCATCAGCCCCGTGCAAATCCATCAAGTCGGAAGAAATTTGGCCCCGGGCCTTGAGAGGGTGAAGGCAAGGGGAGACTGTCCGGGACTCCTAGGGCCGGGAGAGGCTCCCACCGAGCCGGGGCCGTCTGGGAGGGGGGGGAGGGTTAGCCGGGGCTGGGCTGCTGGAGCCAAGGACACCCCGCGTTCTGCTGCTCCGGGGCCCCTCCCGGGCTGCCCCATCTCTGTCCCCGCGAGGAGCAGACACTGAAAAGAGCAGTCCCTGTAGGAGAAGAAACTACATTTTTTCCCCCCTCTTTCCCCCTTGGGGAAGTACATGACGGCTGCAACCCTAAAGCACCGGGCACCGGGGTGCTGCGGGGACACGGGCCCCTTCCCTCCACCACTCTCCTGGAAAAGGAACCGGAGAGGGCCAGGGCTGACCTCTCCCCCACCCGCAGGGGAAGCCCCGGGGACACGCGGAGAGAGGGGCCACCCCTCCCCGCTCCCGTCTGTTCCCACGCACGGCCCCGCAGTGAGGCGGGTCATCCCGACGCGCGTGTGCATGAGACGCGCTTCTTTTTTTACCTTTCCATTTTTTATTTTTTTTTTTTAAGACCTTAAAATATGTCAAATGCCAAATTTAAATTTCTTTCCAGGTCGAGGAGACGGTGGGGTGAGAGGAAGTGCGGGTGGTAAACGTGGGCTGGCAGGGACGGGCAGCAGGCAGGGTCAGGCAGCGAGCAGGGACAGGTAGAGGGCAGGGACGGGCAGCAGGCAGGGACGGGCAGCGGGCAGGGGTAGGCAGTGGACAGGGACAGGCAGTGGGCAGGGGCGCGCAGCGGACAGGGGAGGGCAGTAGGCAAAGAGCTGTCGTCGGGCTCTGGGTGTGGGTGTCTGTGGAGCTGCCGGCTCCGTCGTCTCTTCCTGCCTGGGCTCATCCAGGCCACTTATTCCCGAAGCCGGGGCCAGGCTTTGGGCGTCAGCCTTGCCTGAGTTTGCCAGGGGTCCCAAATATGCGACAGAGCAGATTGAGGACGGGCTAGTGGTTGGTTTTAGCTGCAAGGCTGGTCTCGGTGTGTGTGAGGGGGGAGCCCAGGGCATGGATACCCTTCTCCCTAGCGCTGCACAGCCCAGACCTGCCCCGTCCCCAGCTCTACAGAACCCAGCTCCACAGTCATGGACTGTCCCGATTTTCTGCACAGAAACACGGGACTACCTTTCGCTCCCCAAACGTGTCTGGGTGCGTTTCTGCCGGAGCCACGGAGCATCCCCCGGGCTGTCACTGCACAATTCTCTCTCCCCCTGCTCCGCCGTCATCCCCGGCTGCTGCTCCCGGGCCGTCCCGGACTGCCCCGGCTTCTTCTCTGAGGGAAGTGGGAACAAAACCTGCCCCGAGTGCCCAGGTCCAGCCCCTGCCCGCGGGTGCCGGCTTCCACTCTGCTTGTTTGTTTGTTTTTAAGGCAACGCGAATTTGTTTATAAAATTGACTCTGGCCCTTTGAAACAAATTGTTATTAACCTTCCCCTTCTGAGCATTTCATAATCACAGATGTTAGTTTGGAGATGATATCCAAACATCCCAGGGGTACTTTTGATAGCTGCATGGGCGGGGATTGAATGTGGAGGTCGGATATTAAATCAGCGGGATACAGAATTACTTTTTTTTTTTTTTTTCCACAAACCCGAGCTGGCTAAATAGTTTCCCCCTCTAACTCTGATATGCATTTCACAATCAATGGCTCGGGCATTTGCATACATAGTGCCTGGGTGTGGGTTTGTACATCGCATGTGCCATACCCTGCGTTAACAGAGAGCAGAGCAGAGGAACACCTTCACTAAACCTCAGTGCTCAGATGCTCATTGAACAGAGTTAGGGGGAAAATACGCTTAATTAATTACACGGAGGGGCTGATTGGCACCGGGCAAGTGCAGATGTATTTTTGTTCGGCCCTGAAATACTTCCCTGGGTTGGTGGTTTAGTTTGGTTAGTTGATTCGGGTTTTTTTTTTCCTGTTTTATTCTTTTTTTATGTGACTCTGCTGCTCTGGCTGGAGGGGAAGGAGTCTGCCCCGCTAGCTGGGGGAGGGAAATCTCAGGGAGAGCTGCCTGCCAGGAATAAAACGCTTCCAGGCGGTGGCTAACTCCAGGGCCAGTCCTGCCTCTGCCCCGGCACAGCCTGGTTTTGGGGGGAAATTCTGGCTCGGCTTCGGGGTTGCTCTGGGTTCGGATTTTGCCTTTTCCAAAACAAAAAGGCTGTTTCAGAAAGCCGGTGTTGCTTTGCTAAAATTGCAAGAGGAGCTTGTGCGGCAGCTCATTCTGTTAAAATAATTTTTAATTTTAAATTATCGAGGGGTGATTTATCTGTGCCGTTCTTCCCAAGCCAGCGGGGAGCCGCTGCCCGGGCGTGGGAGCGCGGGCTGGGCGGCGCACGGGAACGAGCAGCCGCTCACAGGGTGGCGAAAAGCAGCAGCGGAGCAAGTGTCTCCGAACCTGTGCCTCTTCCCGTGGAAGCTTTCCCCAAAATATCGGAGGCAGGTGAGAAGCGCAGCCCATGTGAGGAATTCGCTGCTCCCACCGAAGGCACGGCTTACAAATGGCAAATATTTTTGTGTTCTGATCTGGATAAAATCCAAGCAGCAGCGTGATATTTTCTGTCCTTGCTCCAGAGACTGAACTAACTTAGAGAAGCTCCACTACGATTTTTTTAAAATCTAAAACTAAATACCTATTCCTGCTGGTGTCACACATCTATTTTTTATTCCCAGTATTTCTTACGAGGAGGGGAGGACAGGTGGAAACTCCACCCCTGCCTGCACACTTAGGAGCAAGGCCAAAATTTTCTCCTGGTGCAGGTTTAGTGACTTCCTAAAAAAAAAGTGAAATAAAATCTCCGTGGGACTTATCCTCTCTCGTGTAACACACCCACGATGCCGTTTTCTACCATTGAGCAACCGGAGCTATTTTTCAAACCAGACTTAAAACTCTTCTTTAGTGCCCACTGCCACCGATTTTCTCCCTTGGGATTATAAATCACCTGCCTCTATTAGTGTTGGTGGCCCAAAAAAAAAAAAAAATCTCCTCAAAGGTACGTAAACCAAAAAGGCTGGAAAAATAAAAGAAGGTTTGGAAGCAGGAACTCGCAGCATCCTGGTAGCATCCCCGGCACTCTCATCGCACTCATCCCCAGCCCCAATTTCTTCGGGCAGGTGAAGCCCTTGGTGCACCATGCCAGCGGCAGCTCCTCTCCTGGAGAATTTTGCCCCTTGCAGAATGTATCTTAAAGTAGCAGCTTTAAAAAAAAATATATAAAGTAAAATATTAAATACACCTCCTCTTGGTTTTATCTGGGAGCGCGTCCCCTGCAGAAGGAACGACCCTAAGGGTGAGTGAGGCTCTGCCCTTCCTCCCTCTCCTCCTGCCTGTAGAAAGCTATTTCGGAGCTCTTGTGCCCTTTGTCGCAGCAAGGCGGGTGATCGTTTTATTTTTGTCCAGCCCGTCCTAAAATCGTGGTACTGTCATTTCCCGGGGCTACCAAGCATTTTACAGGGTGCCCGGTTTCGTGGAGTGGCATCGGCAATATTCCATCCCCTCTTCCCGAGCTCCTGGGTTACGAGTTTTTCTAGCAGAGGTTTTCCAAACGCAGCCTGTCAGAGCATCACACCACCGGGTATTTAAAGTCTTGAAAAGGTGAAACCTGTTGACAGTACGTGAGATTAAAAAGATTTTCCTTTGCGTTTTCAGCTCCTTTTGAGCGGGAGGAGGAGTGCCCGAGAGGGGCTCGGTGCCGGCTGGCGCTCGTCCTCTCCTTCAGCTAGAAATGAATCCCCCAAAGTTTCCTCATTAAGTCAAAAGGCTGATGAAAAGCCTGGCTGCAAAACCACCTTTCTCATAAATCGCCACGAATTTCCCCCCCCACACACCCGTAAAGAGCTGAAACTACGAAATACTTCTAACTCCAACTCCAGTGCTCAGAAGTGCAGGCTAAGGACTGTATGAACATTTAGGGATATATATTCCCTAACAGCACTGCTCCATTGCAACGCCTGAGTGACACGGTTTGGATTTCATAATAAAGTGGGTTGTTTGGTTGGTTTTTTTAATTATTATTATTTAATGCAGTCCTCGAGAATTGAAACACACAAAATGCAGCGAGAATGTTCACAATGTTGAGAACACAGTCGTAAATAGAAACATTCATATTTCATCCGATTATAAATATTTGATACTGCAATTGTAAAATGCACATGTTTTATAAACTGGAGAGAAGAAAAAAAAAATCCTTTGCTTTCTTGCTAAAAGGCAAAGTCATTTAATCCTGGCTCCTAAGCAGCTGATGGTTATTCACAGAATTTAAAATTACAGGTTTTTATTTTATAGTTGGATTCTTTCTTTTTTTTCTTTTTTTTTTTTAATTTTATACTACTATGTACAATGTGTATCTATTAGAGCTGCAAAATAAAGAGGCTTTAAGGCAAAGCGAGAAGTTTTTCACCCCCTAAACAGTGTCGCAGGAGGGCCCGTTCCCGAGCAGCTGCCCACGCACACCCCGGCCCACGCAGGACACATCCCCCCTCCGGAGTGGGGAGAGGGACCCCTCGCTCCGGGAGAAACGGGTTAAACACAGCCCAGCGCCTCGAACCCCCGAAAAACTCCGATTAGAAGGGGGTGTCTGCGTGGGGAACGAGGGGGGGGAGCGTGGGGAGAAACACCCACTCACACGCTGCCGCGAAGCGTCGCGCCAGCGGGGACCGCGCTGGGAGGGGAAGGGAGAACTAAAAACGTTACTTTATTTAAGGAGGGGGGGGGGGGGCTAAAACGCTCCCAAATATTTCGGGGATGTGATGCCGGAGCGGAGCCGGGTCTCACCCCTCGGCCGCCCCCCGCGGAGGGGGAGCGGGGCCGGGAAGGAGCAGCATCCCGGAGCAGCTCCCGCTTTTCGCTTTTCGGAGATGGGGTTCCCAAAGTTTTCCCAACAAGTTGGAAGGGAGGGGGGAGGGGGGTGCTAAGCCCATCTCTATCCCTCATCCACGCCTGCAGCCTGCATTCCGCATCCATGGATGACCGTGAGTCTCGCTGGGAGTGATGAAGGGGTAGAGGCTCAGGAGAGGCCCCCGAGTGTGTTTTAAGAAGGTGTTTTCAGATTTGTCTCCCTATCGTCACTTATATTTTTTCTTCCTTTTAAAATTAAATTCTCCACGTCTATCCCCAAAGTCAGCCCCAGACACCCCAACTCCAAAAACATAAAAAAAAGAAGAAAAAAAATAAAATAAAACAAAAAAAAAAAAGAAAAGAAAAGAAAAAAAAGAAAAGGGGAGGGGTGGGGTGAAAAAAAAAGTTGGAACTCATAGAACAAATAGGAGAACTATTTATTCAGTTCACAGTCCTGTGAAATGCAGCAATAAAAATCTTTGGACTTCAGCAAAAGTTGTTTTTAATTCTTTTTTTTTTTTGAATTTCAAAAAACATTGTCCAATGTCCATTAAAACTGTGCTTAAGTCTATAAAAGGTAACTTAAGCATTAAAAAAAAAAAATCATAAAGATAGCATCTAAAATCTCCATACAACCGAAAAAAAAAAGCAAGCAAACAAACAAACCAAAGTCAACCAACCAGCCCAAATCCCCGAAATCAAAACCAACCAACCAAAAAAAAAAAAAAAATCAAAAAATATTTTATAATCAGATATCTTGGATTTTTACACCACCTTACCTGTAAATTATATATACATAGAATATTGCAGAATTATATCTAATACACAATATTTTCACTATTAATGCTGGTATAATCTTTATACACTGGCCCTTATGTTTCTTTTTATTTTTTTTAATTAAATTATTGCATTGTATAAACTTTGACTGCAAACGGCCCCCCTCCCCTGCCTCCCCCCTCCCTCCCTCGCCTCCCTCCCACCCCCCCCTTTCCCTTGGCTATTCACTGTCCGACTTGCCGTCTTTCGCCGTGGTGGAGTGGTTGTAGAGCCCCTGGGCCATGAGGTGCACTGCCAGGGAGTTCTTGCTGCCCGTCGCCTTCTTGATCTTGGCTCGTTTATTCTGGAACCAGATTTTGATCTGGGACTCGTTGAGCCCGAGCTCCTGGGCCAGGCTCTGCCGCCGCTGCTCCGTCAGGTACCGGTTCGTCTGGAACTCGGCCTTGAGTCTCTGCAGCTGCTCGGCGGTGAAGGCGGTGCGCGGCCGCTTGTCCTCCTTGTTGGGGTTCTTCTTCTTTGGTTTGCGGGAGCGGGGACCTACGGCCGGGAGAGGGGAGAAGCACCGACACCGCCACGCTCCGCTGCGGGCGGCCCCACGCCAGGCGCGGTTCCGCGAGGGGGGCACCCACGCTCCGACAACACCACCACCACCCCCGCCAAGAAAAATAAACCCGCTTTGTGCCTCCGCTGCCAGGGGGATGCTCTGGAGGCGGTAGAACGGGAGCCGCAGACCCCGGCGCCCCCGCAGCCTCCTGTGCCCACGCTCGCTGCCCGGCCGCCCCCCCCTTCCCCCCGTCCCCTTCTCCCCCAGCCACAAACACAGTTACCGACCCTCTGCATCCCGGGGATGGCCAGCAAGGAAAACTGCACCAGGAGCAGCCACATGGAGCCAAATTTTACACCCCGAAAAAATATGTTTGTTTGTTTTGGTTTTGTTTTTTGTTTTTTGGTTTTTTTTTAAGAAAACCTCTTTACTTTTTTTACTTATCTTTTAAATTTTTTTTTTGGTGGTTCGCGATAAAAATTCTGATGGAAATCCTCCTCCTCCAGTTTACTTAGGGAGAAGCATTCCGCCTCTCCGCTGCAGTGCCCATATGGCGCTGCACGGCCCGATCCGAATCGCCGGGATTATTCTCGGGAATATTATTCTCGGCAGCACAAGGAGCCTTTTCTGCCCGGGCCGAGCCTTTGTGAGGATGTATGTTAATTAAATATTAACAAAGGAGAGCACCGGAGAACAATGGAGTAAATTCCAATTCAGCTCTGAATATTACCTCCGAGTAAGAGTTTGTTTTCAGACATTACGAACTAATTTTCATCTCGTTTTACGATCTCTCCTTCAGCCGGCCGGCTCCCGGGTGAAAATCCTACCTCGCTGCTTTTGTAAGAGAAAGATCCATATTTTTTTTTCTTTTCCCTGGGAGCAGATCTCCTGCCTGGTGTTTCCCATGCCTTCCCCCAACGCTTTCTACTTCTTTTTAAACAGGGTTTTACCGATCTGCCGGGACCAACCCTGCTGTCCCCGCAGTAGCAGAAGGACATATTACCCCCGGCTTTATTTTTTAAATTTTCTTTCTTTCTTTTATTATTTTTTTACGATAATTTCAAGAGGTTCTGCCCAAGCCCTTGCCAAAGAAGTTCCTTGGCTCTCGGGAACGTCCCCCGGCCCCCACAGAGCTGACCTACAGCACATGGGGGGAAATCAAGAGAAAGAAACGAAACGGCGGCCGCTCCGAGGCCTCTTTTAGAGAAATAAACGACCGCGGCTTGTTTTTGGCGAAAAAAGACTAATCAAAACAAGGCGAGGCCTGTGGAAATGCCCTCTCCCTTTTCCAAAACACAGCGCGGGAGGGGGGGGAGGTTCCCGGCAGGGAGGAGAGCTCTCCGGGAGGATGAGCGGGGAGCCCAAAGCCAGAATTTTTTCCTCCCTCTTTGATAAAACTCGGCAGTTGGTGGGAAATGCCCCGAGCCCAGGCGGCCCCAGCTCTGCCGCGGCGGCGGGGAGGGAGGGACCCCCGTTCCCTCCTCGTCCCTCCGGTACCGCGCACCCCCGGCCACCCCTTCTTCTCCCCGCATTTTCAGGTCATTTTAAGCAACTCCTTCCCCCACCCACTCCCCTCCAAAATAAAAAAAAAAAAAGAAAAGAAAAGAAACAAAAAAGAAGAAAAAAGAAAATAAGAAGACGGAGCGGGAAAGGGGAGCGGGGTCTTTTCCACGCCGCTTCCCGGCCTCGAGGGCTGGCGGAGGCGGCCCGGGGAGCCCGGGGAGGGTGATACAGCGGTGGGGGAGCGGGGCCGCGACGAGGCAGCGCTTACCTGAGGAGGGCCGGTCCGAGTACCGCGTGCAGTACACCCAGGCGGGCCACAGCATGGGCTGGTTCCCGGCGTTGGAGCTGGCCTGGGAGCTATCCGAGTCCGAGCTCACCGACAGGTCGCCGCCGCTCAGCCCCCGCGCCTTCAGGGCCGCCTCCAGCGCCGCGGGGTCGCCCCCCTTCTTGGCGGCGCCGTGCAGGGCCAGCCCGGCGGGGCCGCCCTCCCCCCGGCCCGGCGAGCCCGCCCCGCCGCCGGGCAG